GAAGGGCAAGGCACCTACAGCCATTTCTTTCCCAGCAGCACCTTGTCGACTCCATGTTGGTGAGGGCCACTAGCTTCTCCTGGGTGTCACTCTGATCCTTAGCTCAGTTGCAACCTCTCTTAGAGAGTAAGTTCAACAGGCCTAAGGGCTAGAATGCACAGACAGGCCAGAGTCAGGATTCAGCGACAGTGGCTACAGCTCCCAAGAGATAGTGTTGACGCTGGGGAATTGGGAGGACCCAGTGGTGGTGGCAGCTGGAGGGTCCAGGGCATGGGGAGGCTGCGGTCAAACTGAAGAGGATCAAAGGGACCAGGGGCAGGACCAGCCCACACTTCATGCAAGGCACATCCACCCTCCTGCCCATCTGTAGACCCCAGTCCCAGAGTCTGACACCAGTTTCCCAACACCCTACCTCTGACCTGAGACAGGGACAGCAAGGGAGCATGTGCCAGGACATTCTGCCTGGGGCAACAAGTGGAAAATGGGTTCCGACGTTCTGTGCCTCAGGGGACCTGCCTTTTGAAACATCGCTTCGGGATAGAACGCAGCATCTCGGGACACTTCTTGCGCTTCAGCATCAAACTTGCCGCGGAGAAGAGAGGGCGGTGGAGGGCTCGCACTGGGGACAAGGGTGGGGGCAGGAAGAGGGGCTATTCCAGGGAGGGAGGGGGCAGGCAGCGGCTGGCCTATCCCACTGTGAGGCTCCTCCTCTAGGGCTGGTGGCTACTTGTCCTCTGTGCTCTCAGGCATACCTGCCTCTAGCAGGGCAGCACGGAACTGTGTCAGGACGCCCCGGATGCTCTTGATGAAGCCCTTGGAGAGGGGGAAGAAGGGGAAGCCGATGTCGGGGTAGCCACTCTTCTCGGGCAGGAAGCTTCGGTAGCTCTTTCTCCGTTTCTTTGGTTTCACACTGGGTGGCACGGATGCATCGGGAGCTGTCTCAGAAGTCTGCTCCGTGTGGTCCCTGCTGGTTGAGGCTGGGCCTTGGGCACCACCCTCTGAGTCTGAGCCTTGGGAGACCTCCCCAAGGGTCATCCCACCATCCTCAGGTTCTTCACGGCAGGAGTCTGAGAGCTCAGCTGCAGCTGGTGGCTCTGGAGAACTGCTGTCCTTAGGGATCCCGTTGGGCAGTGCCTGGGCCCTCTCCAGCAGGGCATGGGTTTCCAGCCAGGACTCGATGCGGTTCACCAGCCGCCAGCCCCCAGTGCTAAAGTGCTGCCGGATCTCCTGCTCGAACACCAGGAGGCCTCCGTACCAACTGTGTCATGGACTGCACCACTCGGATTAGGGCCATTTCATTGTAGCAGCGACTGTTCTCACATACTTCCTGCAGGCCCCGGGCAAGGTCAAAGCCAGCTTCGTTGTAGTATGGTTCATTCACCAGGATCAGACCTATCAGGAAGACAGTCTCCATGAGGGCAGGTTTGCCCTTGACCCGCAAGAAGACTGCTGGTCAATGTGCCCTCCACCAGCCCCCAGCACCACCCGCCAGCCCAAGCATACCTTGGATGGAGATGAGCACCTGGAGAAGGCTGGATTTGCTCGTCCACCTCTCCGTCCCCTGAAACATGTACAGCACTATCAGGGCTGTCCCAGACAGATACCTGCCTTGCTGAGTCCCTCTCTCCACTGGGGCTCCGGTGCTATCCTTACCTTTCCAATCCAGGTACCCAGGAGGCTGACGCACACCTTCCCATTGTCATACAGGTTAGGGTTCAGGCAGCCACTGC